TATATATATATATATATTCAAATGAGATCACATATATTTTCTATCGAAAGATAATTTTATCCAAATAGGATAAAATCACTATTACCAACAAACTTCTTTTAATATTATTTAATGTAATTGCCTACTTAAGATTCAAACTTGAAATTGTTGATTTAGTTAGAACAATTAATCTACACACTTAATAGTAAAGTCAATTTAAAGGTATATGAATTTTTTCAAAAAAAACATGTTAAGTTTTTTTAATAATGTAACTATTTCAAGAAAATAGTTAACATTTCTTGTTATAAACATATTATTCATTAAATAATAATTATAATATATTTTATGACAAAAGTTTTAACAAGTATAGTTTTTAATGGACATATATTATAGCCTACAAAGTTTTTCCTAGCTCCACTTAGACCTTTAGGCACATGCCACTTAATTGCTAATGTCTCAAGCTACTTCGATAATCAATAGTAACAAAAATCAACAAATAGTCTATAGACACAAATAATTATATATGAAATTAAATTTATAAATATAGTTACACCAAATTAGTGACCCAAAGAAAAAACATGTATCATATACATGACAAACAATGGGTGATAATAAGCTACATCTTATTAGCATCTAGGGCTTGTTGGTGGTTATGGTTGCTTCTTTCCGATACCTAGATGCATATCTTTGAAACAAGAAAAATGCATTACTAGTATGTTCCGCTACATTCATGGCCTTAACCTTAATAGCAGCTGTTCTTTTACTCATCCTATGGCCAGGAAATGAGTACACACAACTACTAGCATCTGTTAAGGCAGTGCTCACCCATGTCTCAATATTGCTTATGTGCCACAACATGTCATCATTGATGGTGGACCCACGTTTGTTCAACCTGCGTAGTTCTTTCATGGCTTGGCTAAGTTGGTTCACACTATCAGTGATTTGGTTCACACAATCTTGAACAATTAGGTATTCTCTTTTGTTGTTCTTGATGGATTTAAGTTCCTTGGCAACTTTCAAAAGATATCCTCTTGTGTGCACTGCTCTAGAGAGGCTTGCTAATAATGCATATTGGGCTAAGTGTTGTGGACTGTTTACGGTAGATTTGACATATTGGGCCAGACAACGAATACAAAGATTAGGGTAGAGGGTGCCATTACAAGAGGACTCTATGTAGGTCATTGTTTGAGAGTTTTTTTGCCTTGCCAATGATGATGGCTCAATTGGGGTGGCAAGAGTTGAATAGATGAGAGAGAGAAAAATGACCAACAATGTGAAGTTGAGTTGTGCCATGTTGAGTCACAATTCAAGCTTGATAATTAGCAATAGTGAGCCTAATAGAAGAGAGCTTTTTCAAAGATCAAAAGGAGATTTTTGGTTGAAGAAATGACAACGGGGTGTGGTGCTTAAATAGAGGTCCTCAATTCATCACATGCATAACTATTTAGTTTTCCCCTTTTTACGTTATTTATGTCCTTCACATGTGCATTGAGTTGCGCTAAGAACGAAGCGGAACAACCTAGGACTTAAGTAATTGGAACTGGTATAGGTGAAATTAAAATCACATATATTAGCGAAGCATTGGCATAAGCAAAGATCATATATTTTATTTTATGTGTGATGACCATATATTCGTATCATACATTACCTTGGAGTAAACCCTTGTTTAAGAAGCTTGGTTACCTTATTTGAGTGCAGTGGTATGTGAAGTAATATTGTGGATCAAACTTCTATTGTTACGTTTAAAAGGGTTAGACTTTTTTTGTACTTAGATCGTAAGAATTCTAATCAAGTGGCAGGATATAAAAAAAGTAAAGGAGAATGACAAAAACAAAGGAAAGAAAGAGAAGGATAATCAATACGAATATACGATGCTTAAGTAGGAAGAGAAAATGCATGAAACTTGAATGAGTGTGGGGATAGTTTAATAATTGATTGTTTATAATTTGTAGGCTGGATGAAGGTGCAACTTGGAGTTTTCAAGGCGACACTAGCGGGTCTATGTACCATGTTATTGTTTACTGGAAAATAATGAAACAAGAAGAAAAATGAAACACACATGTGAATGTTTAATCAATTGGTTGGCAAAACATAATTTCAAACCCCCCAACAAGAAAGAAGATTCTGGGAGACAGTTTGGATTAATAAAACTATTAATTGATGCATAATCTATGGTTAATTGCTGGTTCATGAATTTTGCAATAGTGGGACATTGAGAGTGATCTTTCCGCAATAGCAAAAAAAAAAAGTGTACCAATTACCAAATCAAATATAATTTCAGTTTATTATAGCCGAAGTTGATCAGGGAAACAATTGAGGGGAAAAATAAAATCATGATTAAAATTTGTAAATTAAATGTAATAGTTTTAACAATATCACTTCTTCTAAAGATTTTAAGAATTTAATTATATGATATTATGCAAACATTAACTATTATTCAAATTTGAATTAGAAATATTAATGTATAATTGTTTACGGTGGAATTAACCATCAAATCCTGAGTTCTTTAATTGAAATTATATATAATTGGATAGGTATTTCTTTTAATTTGTACGTTTTTTGCTAGCTGTTGCTGGAACTCAAGAACCACTAATTAATTATAGAATAATGACGCATCATTATAGTTTGTTATCCAACTTATATCTCCTAATCTTCTAATTAAGCAACATTGTGAGTTGTTATTATGCTTTCCCTGAGTCTTCAAAATCACACACAATATTTTGTTTTCCTCTTCTTCTCCAGGGGACATAGAGCCGTTGGACTCGCCTTAAAAGTTTCATGTTGCACCTTGATTCAGCCAGCAGAATCATCAAATTCTATTATTAAGTTATCCCCAATCATTCAAACTCCATAAATTTTCCCTTACGAATTAAGTATCATATTCATGTGTACCATTTTTTTTTTTACTTTTCTTTACCACTTGATCAAGTTCTTACAATCTTATCTAAAAAAGTCTAACCCTTTCAAATGTGTAATTAATAAGTCACAATATTACTTCACATACCACCGCCCTCAAACAAGGAGAACAAGTTTCTTAAACTAGGTTTTACTCCAACCAAATATTTTCTTGATCATAACAGGTGGACTATCTTCTTTGATACGATTGTTATCTACCCATAAGATAATTAATAATATAATGAAGGCAAATATATGACAATGCTAAAATGCTAATTTTATAATCTGATTTTAATTTGACCGTCTAGCTCCATTTAAAATTTTATTATAGTTGTATATATTCTTCTTTGTTCTTAGCGCAACGTATTAAGGACATAAAAGAAACGTAACAAAGGAAAAAAAAACATGTACAATACCTATGCATGTGATGAAGGGAGGAACTGTCTATATATAAGCACCACCCCCCATTGTCATTTTCTTCATCCAAAAATCTCCTTGAGTTTTGAAAGCTTTTTTCTTCTATTAGCCTCAGAGCTAATCAAGCTTGAATTGTGACCCAAAGTTAACATAACATGGCACGACTCAACCTCACATTGTTAATTATCATTTTCCTCTCTCTTCTCTTTTCAACTCTTGCCACCTCAGTTAAGCCATTATCATTGGTAAGGCACAAAAATTCTCAAACTATGACTTACATTGAGTCCTCTTGTAATGGTACCCTCTATCCCGATCTTTGTATTCGTTGCCTGACCCAATATGTCAAATCCAACATAAATGGGCCACAACACTTGGCGCAATATGCTTTATCAATGAGTCTCTCTAGAGCACTTCACACAAGAAAGTATCTTCTGAAAGTGACCAAAGAACTTAAGACTAAAGCCGTCAAGAGCAATAAAAGAGAGTACCTAATTGTTCAAGATTGTGTGAACCAAATTACTCATAGTGTAGACCAACTTAGCCAAGTTATGAAAGAACTACGCAGGTTGAACAAACGTGGGTCCACCATCAATGATGACACGTTGTGGCACATAAGTAATGTAGAGACATGGGTAAGCACTGCATTAACAGATGCTAGTAGTTGTGTGTACTCATTTCCTGGTCATAGGATGAGTAAAAGAACAAGTACTATTAAGGTTAAGGCTATGAATGTAGCTGAAGTTACTAGTAATGCATTATTCTTATTTCAAAAATATGCATCTAGGTATCGAAAAGTTGCAACCATAACCACCAAGAAGTCCTAGAAATTAATAAGTTATAACCTTTTACCACCCAATGTTTGTTCATGTAAATGTTACATGTTTTTTCTTTGGGTGGGTTATGATCTTTATTAAATTTGATGTAATCTAGCTTTTTAATTTTAATTTAATCATTATTTGTGTTCATAGATAACTGTGTTAATTGGTTGTATTTTGTTATTTGATTATCAAGGCGTCTTAAGTCTTAGGCACTTTAGTGGCCTAAGGCCTAATTATATGGAGCATCGGAAAATTTTCGTAATATGAGTATTAAAAAGTTACTGCTCGCGTCTTTATTATAAAATCTAAATAAGTTATTTATCAAGATTACAGACAATTGATTTTTTTTTTCAAGATCAATAAATATCTTAAATTTCTATTTGTTTAATTTCATAACTATCTCTAAATTAATGAAACACTTGGTATAAGCTTTCGAAATTTTTGTATTTCAAGAAAAAAGTTAGACTATTTATATCTTAAGAAACATAAAATAAATGAATTCTACTTATCTATTGAAATGGGTAAATGCATTTGATAAAATATTTTATAAAGAATAAATTAATATTTGATTCATATATAGTAGATTGGAACTTATGGAAAGGATCAAATCAATTTAAAATTTTAATTTATATATTAAAGACCGGAGGTAATAATATTGAATTAAGAATAGCTTTATAAAATATATTAAAAATATTAAATATCTTTTAACTGTAATTATAGTTTATTATTGGATTTAATGAATAATATGTCTATACCAGAAATGGTATTTGTTTTTTGTAATGATCAAATTATTAAAAATATTAATATAATTTTGTGTAAAAATTCAAATACTTTACCTTTAAATAAGCATTGTTCATTATTTTCATTAGTAGGTTTCAGGGGAAAATTTGCATTGTGGGTACCGAAAATGAAATAGATGATAGATAAGACGGAGTCTACGGGCGGTAAGTTCATGATTAAAATATCGAGTCAAGAGATTTTTTTTTTTTTTTAAGTTTAAAATTTAGGGTTTAAGATTTATTAACGTACTAAAAATTGATTTATCTAAATTGAGGCATTTGTTTCGTGGTTAGAAACACTCTGCAGTTTCATTTTTGCTGCATTTGGTGCATTTGGAAACTACTTAAAAGGGGTCTTTACTCTTTACTTGGGGGAAGAGGATATATATAAAGCTCCTTATTGTCTTTTATTTATTTTTTCCTCCTGTTCTTTTCTTGGCCTTTTCAAAGATTTTGTAAATGTTTGGTTTTTTTTACCCGGTCTTTTTCCTCTTAATAAAATTTTCTTTGCTAACAAAAAAGCTCAAGTTTCATATACCAATTAACCTTCAACAATTGAACAATGTTAGTTAGTTTTTAGATCATATTAGGCAATCATCATACATGTCTTATATTTTTGAATTGTGTTTTTATCAAAAAATAATTAATACATATTAAATTGTTTATTTATATACATTTTTATAGTTTATTATTTTTTTTTTATAGATTTTTGGTGCTATTAGACGCAGGAAAAATATGAGAAAAGAAAAGTTCATGAAAAAACTAAAAGACAAAACGAATGAAGATCTATTTCAAGGAATTTCACTCAAACTAGTAAGTTACTTTGGTCGCTTGAGCGAAACTTGATCGCAAGCAAAAAAAATATGACAATGTTGACTCGCTTAAGCATGATTATCTGCTAACTTAAGCAAGTAAATTACGAAAGCTCGTTTAAACAGATCATCTTGACCACTTAGGCGAGTTATGGGTAATATTGAAAACTTATAAGAGACTCAAAAATTATAAATAGAGATAAAATTTCAAAGAGGGAAAAAAGTTTGATTTTAGAGAGAAAAAGTGAAATGGAAATCATCATGATGAATCCCTCAAGAACCTTTTCTCCAACCTTTATGTAATTTTAGATTAGTCATGAGTGCCTAAGCATCCTGATGTTGAAGATTGATATACTTGATTCTAGTCCATGTAAACTTCCTCTTATATATTCAATAGAATATTATTTAGTTAATTATTTCATAGGATTATTTGAGATTGAAAACCTTCTAAAACTATGATATAAAAAAGAACATTGATAATGGTTGCTAGGAATAGAGTAAGAATTATTAGTTAACTTTTAAACTCCTAATCTTATTCCAAATTGTTTAATTAACTATATCAAGAAATTGGGATTTTAATTATAGAACTTACAATTTCTCATTTAAGAAATTAAAGTTAAAAAATTTCTTCAATTGTTGGATTAACATAATAATATTTGAAATTAAATAATTGAACAAGAATGAGTGTAAAAATAGTCCGTGTAAAACTAATTATTGATATCTTTTACTATGAATTTACAATAACTTTTAAACTTAAATATATTTTTAATCTTTTAAATTTAGGATAAATTTATTTTTGGTCCCACAAATTTAAAATTGCTTGATTTAGTCTTTATGATTTTCAAAAATTTTGTTTCAGCGCCCTATGTCACCAATAATATATATAAAAATGATAAATTGAGACAATTATAAAGTATCAGTTAAATTTAATTAAGGTGATGTTTTCATTAATAGAGACACCAATAAATAGATTTTAAGCAACAACATTTAATAGATTCCTTAACAAAATTTGAGTATAAAGAATAAAACAAGATTTTTTGAAATTATAAGAACTAAAAAGACCAATTTTAAATTTGAGAAACTAAAAATAAATTTACCTTAAATTTAAAAGACCAAAAATATATTTAAGTCATCTTTAATCTACTTTTTTATATTACAAACTCTAAAAATATGTTCTTTAATTCATGCTTTTAAACAAATTTCACATATTTTCTTAATTACCATTAAGTTAAATTAATTAATTGTTACAAAAAATTTTCTACAAATTCAACATTTCAACTTCTATCTATTTTAATCCTTACGAGAATTGATACATTGTCTAACACTAAATACAAGTAGTTTAAAACACTATATTTTTACAGGAATCCCAAAACCTATGTGGGATTACCTTAATTAAGATAGATATGTGTTGGTAGTATATGGCTTGGGAATATATTTTATTTAGGTAAATCGATTTTTTCTCCTATTATATATTCGATTCAGTTTTGGCTTCCTAACTTCTAATTTTATAACTTTTTTCTCCTATAATATCATGTTATAATATTAATTACTATTATAATTTTAACGGTTAGTAGATAAATATTTAATGATTAGATTAGATTAAAATTACATGATCATGTTCTGATCATTCCTTAATTAATCCGTATTAATTATTCCCTACATATATCCCAGCAAAGATGGAAGTTGTAGTAAAAGGAGAAGTTTGACTTAAACTCTTCCAACGTTCAAGTTCAATAATGTGACACCACAATGCTTGAATTGAAGTTGAACCAAGCAATAGATTACAATCCTGTGAATTTTTGCTGCATTTTAATTTACAGTGGCAGGATCTCTTGCATATATACCAAGTTTGCAAATAACGTTTGCACAGTTGAACCAATTGATTCAGCCTGCAGAATCATCAAATTATCCCAATCATATATTCAAGTTTCCTACATTTTCCCTTACTATTTAAGCATCAAATATACAATCACTTTCTCTCTCGCCACTTGATAGGAGTTCTTACAATGTGTGTTCTAAAAGTCTAACCCTTATATTTAAACGTGTATACAATAACTTAAGAAACTAGTTTTAAACTAGGTATCTTCTTCATATCAAGCTGGATTTTCTTTGATACGAATCGATTGTGATCTACACGCATAAGATAATAATATATAATGCAAGCATGTGACAAAGTTAATGCTAAGTTTATAATCAACAATTTTAATTTGACCGACCAGCTCCATTTAAAATTTTATTATAGTCATACATTGTCCCGCTTCGTACTTCCGCGTATAAAGGACATGATATAACGTAAAAAGGGAAAAGCTACAAAGATTTGCATGGGGTGATGAGAGGAACTCTCTAATATCTATATAAGCACCACACCCCATTGCCATTTTCTCCAACCAAATATATCTTTTTGAGCTTTCAAAGCTTTCTTCTATTCAGGTTCAATTGTGACCCAACATGGCACAACTCAACCTCACATTAGTCATTTTCCTCTCTCTCCTCTTTTCAATTCTTGCCACCCCAGTTGAGCCATCAACATTGACAAGGCACAAAAATTCCCAAACAATGACCTATATAGAGTCCTCTTGCAATGGCACCCTCTATCCTAATCTTTGCATCCGTTGTTTGGCTCAATATGTCAAATCCACCATAAATAGTCCACAACACTTAGCCCAATATGCATTGTCGGTGAGTCTCTCTAGAGCATTACACACAAGAGTGTACCTTTTGAAAGTGGCCAAAGAACTTAAAGCCATCAAAAATAGCAAAAGAGAGTATCAAATTGTTCAAGATTGTGTGAATCAAATCACTGATAGTGTGAACCAAATTAGTCAAGCTATGAAAGAATTACGTAAGTTGAACAAACGTGAGTCCACCATCGATGATAATATGTTGTGGCACATAAGCAACGTTGAGACATGGGTGAGTACTGCCTTAACAGATGCTAGTAGTTGTGTATACTCATTTCCTGGAAATAGGATGAGTAAGAGAGCAGCTGCTATTAAGGTCAAGGCCATGGATGTGGCGGAACATACTAGTAATGCATTGTTCTTGTTTCATAAATATGCATCTAGGTATCAGAAAGCAGCAACTAGAACCACCAAGAAGCCCTAGAAGCTAAAAAGATATAAACCTATGTATTACCACCCATTGTTTTTTCATGTACATGATACGTGTTTTTTCTTTGGGTGGATTATAATCTCTATTAAACTTTCATGTATTATAGATTTATATTTTTAATTTTATAATTATTTGTGTTCATATAGAGAAATGTGTGATGCTTGTATTTTGATAGATGATCATAGCTACCTTCTAATCAAATTTGCAACCATAACTCTGAACAAAGCATAATGCATATGATACATGAACTCAAACAATTACACATCATCATATTTTATATTAACAATAATTTATTATTATGCATCAAACATAAAATTTTATCAAATGATTAATTATTCTATTTAGATTTAACAACTAGCTAAACATCATGCTTAGACTTTACAAAATGACTAAATCTTAGACTTAAAAATTAGTTAAGTGAATCACTTAGGTTTAACAAAATCGAATGACTTTATTTTAAAAATTAGACTTATCAAATCACATAATAATATACTCGAATTTTCTCAAGTTCACAAGTTCTCAAATCACATAATATTTCAAACTTTCTCAAATACACAAGTTCTCAAAATCTTATATTAACACGAATGGGTTATTGTAGTCATCTATTTTAACTATCTCTTATGTTATTTAATTCTAACAATACTAGTTCATTTAATTCCTAAGGCAAAAACAACTTATAGGGAGTTCAACATGGTCGTTCTTTGTTAGTCACATTTTTGCCTCATTTCCAAGCACGATATTGATACCTTTAGCATGATCGTGTTACCTTCACTTAAAAAAATGTTCCCACAAAGAAAAGATTTTACTAACACTTCACTTATCAACTTAATTATTATCCTTTCTTTCTTCTCGTTTGTATTTTCTATATTTTCTGGCACTCAATATCCTAATCTCTTTTCTCCCTCTTTTTATTTTATTTTTTTTTTAATAAGATTTGACCTATTTTTTAGATTAACTCTATTATCCTATTCTTGTTAATCCTTAGTTTTAAGGTGTACGTTAATGTAAATTAATAAAGTTAATTTATGAAAAGAAAATTTCAAATATCATATATATATATATATATATATAATTTATTATTAAACAATTTCTAAAATACAATAAAATGATATTATAATTTAAACATAAAATAATAAAATATAATATAATTTACTTATAAAATCTTTAAGGTAAAATAATACATAGCTATGATTTATAAACAGATATGTAAGATTACTTAATATAAATAAGATAACATGATAATATATATAATTTAAATATAAATAATTCGTGAAATAATATATTTAATTCTTTTTTTGTAATAATACTAATAATAAAAGCAAAAATATTAGTATACACTTAGTAAGGTTTTTAAAAGATTTCATATATATTCTATTTCTAATATTCAAATTTTGGGATGTTAGAGAGGCTATATTTAACTCATTGTTTTCATCTTTCAAATTCTTCAACAAATAGAATACTTGTCTAAACAGAGTCAGGAGGAAAAGGGAGAAAGTGTAGCTAGAAACTATGGTAGAGAAAAAAAAAACACTCCAAAAATCATTAGCCACCATAAACTTCTAATAAGGAGAGTCATGTTTGGAGAAATCATTGCCTAAAGCATGAGGCATGGATGTCATGGAGACCTCGTAATTCATCACCACGAATTCACAAATCCAAGATGACAGCCAAGTAAAGAAAATTATAAGCAATAACTTTATTTATATAAAATTATAATACATTACTTAATTCAAAATATTCTTTGTCACCTATTTTAATAATTTTCATTTATTTAGTCATTGTGTATTAAACTAATTAATGTTAATGGTAAAAAATAAAGAACATAAAAACAATGTCAATGATCTAAAATCGATTTTTTTGTTGTTGCAAGAACTAGATAAAAACATATTTTATGGAGACTTAAAATATAAAAATGTATATATATAAAATGACACTTTAATATCCATAAAAATTGTCTTTTTTTATTATATATTTTTAAGTAAAGTGTAGAATATATTTACTTTATATATATATATATATATATATATATAAAATAATGAATATTATATTTATCAAAATAATAGATATTAACAAAAAATAATAAATCGTGAAATTTATCAGATGAAATTTCACTTGACAAATTTAAGAATGATGTTATCAATATTTTTTTTTTGTTCTTTTTTTTTTGTTTGTATAACATCGTGATGTATATATCTAATAAATAAATCCGACACACTTTGTAGAAAAACATATAAAGGGACAATTTTGATAGATATTAAGGTGTAGTTATGTATATACATTTTTTATTCTTTAATCCGTAAATTCCCTGCATATCCCAGCAAAGATGGAAGTTGTAGTAAAAGGAGAAGTTTGACTTTCGACTCTTCCAACGTTCAAGTGCAAATATGAGACACCACAATGCAATAAATATAATCCTCTGAATTTTCACTATTAGTGGCAGGATCGATTTCTTGCATATATACTTATATAGTTGTTGGATCAGCAAGTTTTCTTTGAGGTCTGCAGCAAATATCGTTTGCACAGTTGCACCTTGATTCAGCCTGCAGAATCATCAAAATCTTATTAATAAAGTTTCCTATATTTTTTCTTACTAATTAAGCGTCACACATATACGGTCTCTTTTTCTTTCGTCACTTGATACGAGTTTTTAGAATCATCTGTGTTCAAAAGTCTAATATACAATAACAAAGGTATGAGTGATATTCAAATATTTGCTTCACATACTCAAATACGGAAAACAAGTTTCTTAAACTATGTATCTTCTTCATATCAGGCTGGACTTTCTTTGATACGAATCTATTATTTTCTACACATAAGATAATAATATATAATGTATGCATGTGACAATGTTAATGTTAATTTTATAATCAACGATCGATTTTAATTTGACCGACCAGCTCCATTTAAAATTTTATCACAGTCCTACGTTGTCCGTTCTTGCGTGTGAATAAAATAACGTAAAAAAGGGAAAAACTAAAGAGATTTGCATGTTATGATGTGAGGTAATCTCTATATAAGCACCACACCCCAATGCCATTTTCATCAACCTTTTTGAGATTTGAAAGCTTTTTTCTATTTAGGGTCACAGCAAACCAAAGCTTGAATTGTGACCCAAAGTTAACATGGCACAACTCAACCTCACATTGCTAGTCATTTTCCTCTCTCTCCTCTTTTTAATTCTTGCCACCCCAGCTGAGCCATCATCATATTGCCATCCCTAGCCTTAAAAGATATTAGTAGTTATGTATATTTATATGAGTTAATTACCTATACACTGTCAATGTAAAATTTTTTTATACGGACAACTAATTATATCTTTTAATTGTGTCATGTTACTATAAACATATTTACTTTTAACAGTAAGATGACACAATTAAAAAATATAATTAATTACTAGTATAAAAAAACTTTACACTGACGGTGTATAGATGATTAACTCTACTCATATTCCGATCATAAGATGAGGAAGAGAACAATGCTATTAATGTTAAGGTCATGAATACAACGGAACATATTAATAATGTATTGTTTTTGTTTTGAAAATATGCATCTAGATATCCGAAAGCAACAACTATAACCACCTAAAAGTTCTAGAAGCTAATGAGTTAGAAGCTCATGTATTGTCATTCAATGTTTGTTCATGTATATATTAAACAATAGTAAAAAACATTATTTTTACGCTCTTTTTTTTTTTAATTTAACTGGGCAGCAGAAAAATTCTAGGGGTATCTGTATTAAACTGGATATCTTTGTTTTTTTTTAAATAAACTGGGTATCTTTGTTTTTTTTAAATAAACTGGGTATCTTTGTCTACGTATTGCTGAAAATAGGTTTTAAAATTTAAATGATAGTACAGAATATTAGACATAAACATTTTCAAATATATTCTCAAAAGTACCATTACAGTGAAACATAATCTTAAGAATATAACATCATTCCCAAAATAATGATCCTTAACCGTTACCTTTAATTTAAAACAATGAAATAGCAAAACCATTGAAAATAATCCATACTTGAAAATACATTTTTTTTAAACCGAATTTGTTATTGCAATTGTTTTTAAAAACGGATCAAACATTATTAAAGTGATAATAAATGCTCATACTATAAAAAGACAATGTGATATATATTTGCATACTTTCAATGTTTTGACCGTTGAAAATCATTTAAATCATTTTCTTTTTTTTTTTTTAAATAAAAATGTACATATGGCTCTCATGATGAAAAGCGAAAAAAATAGGTAGATCATAATGCAATAATAAATTACCATGAATGAGACATAAACCCTAGAAATATCATAGTTAAGCCCTGGTGTTCAAAACTTGTCTAACAAATTGACTTAAACAACAAATGTATAAAAAGAATGCATAACAAAAATATTAAATCACCTTGAATTACACAAACATATCACAAATCATACTTTTCACCTAAACTCGATTGAATTTTTCATTTTTGTGTATCTTACAAACATGATCCCAAAAAAGAGGCAACCAGAAAAGTAAGCCAAAGAAATGTTGTCTATTAGTTGTATGGTATTCAGAATGAGTCTCCATGATTCTCCCTATTTATGAATTTAGCCAAGGGAAAACATTGGGTGATGTTTGCAACCGCCCTGTTAAAACTTCAACACCAGTCTCTGTCACCTAATAATTAAAACATGAATCATATTATAGAGGAACAATAAGCTAAAAGTAGTTATGCAATACTTATTGTATACTAATAAAGTTAATAAAAAAAAACGTATACTAGTAACATTCAAATTAATAAATCACTGACCAAAACAAATTAGAAAGAAGCCACCATGGCCTTAGAACACTATATAATTAGAGCATGTATTATGCCAATAGTGAGGGATTAAGATCGCATGAGATTATAGGTTTAAACCTACATTGTACCCCAAAAAAATAAACCTACATTGTACCAAGACATTTCATGAGATTATAGGTTTAAACCTACATTGTACCAAGACATTGTGTGCTCTCCGGTATCTTAAAAGTTTGCAAAGGCTTAGTGAAGGAAATATTATAGAAGTTACATATGCATCACATCAAAATCAGTACCATTATATAGAGGTGAGAAAGTAAATGACTAAATGTTACCATATCTTGAAAATTTCATCCAAAACTTAAAATTATGATATTTTTCTCTAATTTATTATCACTTTCAGCACCCGAAGACCATGTTTTACTTGGCAGGATATAGTGCAGAAAATAACCAGATTATGTGGCCTTTATATACTGTAATTAGGACTCGAGAGAAAACAGAAACGGACTTACCAAAAGAGTGTGCTCAAATTGAGCACTTCTTTTACCATCTGCTGTAACAGCAGTCCATCCATCAGGCCACATTCGATCACGCCAGACACCTATTAAAAATCAACATTAGAGCTGCCAAATGTATCCATCATCAAAGTTACCTACTTAAGGTATTTTGCAAGTATACCTGCGTTGATCATTGGTTCAATTGTAAAGGTCTGCCCAGCCTTCATCACACCAACTGCTTTATTTCCTGCCAGTGGTTAAGGTGTACATTGCAAAAAATGTTTTCTTTCTAGCAATCAAGTTCTTTGTTAACATGGATCCAGGGAGTTGGGGGGTAAAGAAGCTAGAGACGTTTACAGTAATGTTTCTGTGAAGTGGTAAGTTTAATTTTGGAAGAAAAAGAAAAGTCTAATTTTTAAAAAATGGCATCAGAATGAGGAATCTGTTTTTAGTCAACAAGTAAATGTATGTATAAATGGATTGTCAGTAAAAAATGAATGGCTAACATCTATTAAATCATTTCTAGTTTTGCAAGTCATTTTATGCCTAACAATTGGTCATTTTTTATATTAAAAGAAAAGTGCACACTGCAATGAATGTCAGACTTAGATCTAACATCAGAGGATGCAGAGAATAATTTCCAAATATGTTTTCCAATATCCTACAGTGCTTTTAAACCAAGGAAAGGATACTTGCATAATGAGGAATGTTTGGTGCACAATGGAAGAGCTCACCAATTCCATGACCACAATATGATTTTACCTAAGAGAACAAGGGAAAAATGAGCAAGGAACAAATGATAACCATCCACTAGCATAAACAAATAACAATAAATAGCTTATAAAAGAAAGACAACAATTCATTACCACTGAGAAGCCAGACATTGATGCATGGCGATTAATAACTTCACCAATTTCACGGAATCGTACCCCAGGTTTAACTGAATTGGATTGAAAAGGAAGAATCAGGATCTCACAGTTCATTTTTTATATATAATATAGTGTATATTTTAATTGGAAGTATTTTAAACACAGCAATCACAATATAATCCATATGCCAACGGCAAACACATACATCTATGGTAATCCGTAATCACCAGTTATCAATTAATAATTCAATGCATATTTACAGCATATTAGCTTACGTTATATGATGCGATATCAGTTATTCCACATGTACTTCTGTCCTTCATTTATATTTTAATGGTTAAAAGTTATTACCATATAATTTTGGGATTTAGGAAGTAAAACCAAATTAACAGTTTTTGGACCAAATTTGTAGTTTGATTTATGAAATGATAACAAACTATAAGGTACACATCGAGCAAAAGATTCATATAAAATCCAAGACTGCAATAATGTTTTTAAAGATTCAATTATATTTGAAACTTAAACAGAGATTCAGAATTAAAATCTGATGGAGATATACCAATGGATATTGCCTTCTCCAGGCACTCATATGTGCATTTTACTAGTTTGCCAGACTCTTCATCAACATTTCCCACAAAGTATGTTTCATTGAGATCACCTGCATAACAACTCACATAAGTAACCAAGGACCGAATTTTTTGAACTTCAAGCGGAAGTATGTAACATATATATGCTCCAACTTACCATGAACACCTTTATAGTATACAGTGACATCAACATTTACAATGTCACCATCCTCAAGCTTCCTGCACAATGACAGAATGACTATAGTATTACAGAAAGTTCTTAAGTTGCTATGTGTGCTTCAGTGGCACTTACACTAATCAAGTGTCAAGTAGCAAAGAAGGAAGAGTTGGGAAAGTTAGTCGACATTATTTGCAGCCAGATGTAAAACTAAGTATTGGAAACGAAGAAAAACAATAGTAAGAATAAATTAGAAAAGGCAGAGGACAGTTTACCTTGCATCAGGAATTCCATGGCAGATTACTTCATTAACTGACCTGTTAGAAAGACAGCATATTTCATTCTTAACATATACCAAGAAAATCTGAGAAAAATGTGACATGCACATAGGAAAAGTACCTACGTGCAGCAAGATTTAGGGAAGAAATGGTAATTAAGTGGCGATGGATATCCTCCTGCAAAGGTAAAAATTCAGAAATATTCATCACAAATGACTATTAGTAGTTTCCAAATGATAATGACACCAAGAAACTCAAAGAAGCATTTGAAAACGGAATTATAACAAGGTTGGGAAGCCTTCTGTGCAGTGTACTGGTCATGGCTTTCTAGAAGGACTTTTCATTTTTGGTATCTTTTGTCCCCTTCTCCCCTTCTTTTGATGGATATATTCTCCCAACCTATTTGTACTTTACCTGCACTCTACCACATTAAATTTCTTTTTCCTATAAAAAAACTACTTGTTATGCATGGTACAATGAAAAGGGGGGAATAGAAAAAAATTCTTTGCAAGTTTTAGGTCAGACACAGCATCCCTAAGGTATCTCTGTGTACCCTACAGTAAATGACTTAATCATCAAATCACAGAAGATACGTATGTACTCAACACTCACCAACTACTGCAATGCCAAAATTTTCTATGAGAAACTAAAAGGCCCAGGATACAACAAGGGGCATGTATACAATCCAACTCAGAGTGGGGATGTGACAAGTTTTAAAAATTATAAGACCTAACACAGCTATAGTATAACATAAATTAAAATAAAACACATTATAAATCAAAAGAGAAAATCAATGTTTTATAAGTAAGCATAAGTGTAGAATGGAGATATAATTAAATGTTAGAATTAGTGTCATTGGTTTAGTATATTTTAGATAAATAAGCCATATGTGAATTGCAGTCAAACGTATTATAATCTTTATTCCTATTAATATTTAGTTTATTTATTATATAATATATAATATGCTATGCTTATTGCTTACTTAAAAAACAAAACAAAAAGAGAAGCTAAACTAGACCCAAAATAGAGGCCCAACAAACCAAAACAAAAAATAAAGGAGAAAAAACATTTAAAAAAAAGATGCCCGATTCACCCAACCCTAACCCTTTCTTTACTTTAACCCTAAGACTGCCCTAAGAACCCAGCAGCTTAGTGCTGTATTCCTCATCTTACAAGTTTTGACTGCAAATATTAAAGAAATCAAAACGCAGCTTTGCAGCAAAAGAGAGAGGGAGAGAACCAAGCAGATTGCAAATGGAGGAGACAGTAGGGGCTGTTGTGAAGAAATAGTTTGAGGGGAGCAGCATAGCCCTCATGGGAGCAGCATGATAGCTCTGTGATTCAGGCTATTCCATCTGCAAAAGATGCACCACACTGAACTGCGCCACTACGGAGGCCCCTGTCACAGCCAGGGGCTGCTCTGCTCCACCACGGAGATATACCGCCCCTATAGCAAGCTATTCTCAACCAGGATTTTAGGTATTATGATATTCCTATCTGTATTTGTATAGAGGTTTAAAGAAAAAGGTTAAAAATTTTAAAATACTACCTCCATCCCAGTATAGAATTAGGAAAGTTTGTAAATTTTGTTAGTGACGTTAAATTCTTTAAATATTAGTATTGCTTTTCCAAAATTACCTTTAAGAATAAGGGGACTTGTCATCTAACTCTTTGACCTTGACAATTAATGTGTGGAGAGACTAGTGGTTATGCAGTTTATCTGATTAATTTGCGGTTAGTCATCCCCAATCCTCACAAGAGAGAGAAATAAATTATCTTATTATTTTACATTTATTATTAATTGATTAAAAAAATTATAAAGTAATTAAGGTTAATTTGGTAAAAAAATTAATACAACAGGTAATTTTAAAAGAGTCTTATAAAAGAGACAAACAAAATTCTGAAAAGGTTAAAGAGGTAGTAGCTAGGAGGAGTATTTGATTTGTCTGTGAAGTGTATACATGGATTTGTGTCAAACATGGGTAAGCCATGAAGATGGCTACTAATTTGAGGCATCTGAGCTTCATTAATTGATAAAAATAATCAAAACTGAATAAATAAAGCATCAACAAAGTGTTTTGAAACAGAAGCTCATTAAAATTAGCACCTGCAGCAATAGTTGCCTCATGAACAACTCGGTCAATTTCATCAGTTGTCACACCAGGCTGAATAATCCGAGCAGCTGCATCCAACACCTCCCTTGCAATCTATAAATCAATACACAATAGAGTCTAAAGTCAACATCAACACAAAATAGAAAAATTAAACAACTATTTAAAGACCTCTCACTGGTACCACCAAAAGTTTACTTGCATTAAACAATTTTTTTCTTTTCTCAGCCCCTCCAGCTTATTAGTTATTACATATATCAAAGCAGAGGTTTATTGGATGTCATCATTAATCAACAAAGTAAAATCAATTCATGTATCACCAACCCAAGCCATTCTCACACAAATTAATCAGCATGAAAATAATGATACGAATGAAAAATTTTGAATCGAATTATGAATTGAGATAGCAGAGAATCTACAGAGTCAAAAGGTGGCAAGGAGCTTACCCGACAAGTTTCCCTCATTCTCTCAATTTGATCTGGAGTTTTGACCTACAGATTAATATCAGTTAGAAAGTAGAATAAAAACAATGTCCAATTAGATTTTTACATAAATCATCTACTCATGTATTTTAAAATTACCCACCTCAACAGTATGTTGCAGAGCACTATAGGGCTCAATTTTGGGAATTCCCTAAAAGTTAAACACCAGAAGAGAAAAAAAAAACAATTCAGAAACCAATGAATCTCCCTAAGTTATCAAAAGATTACTTCCAATTATTATATTTAAGCAAATTGAGCTAAATCAGGTAAAATACAAAGCATTTAACTAAGAAGAACTCAGAAAACTCACATCAACAGCCCAATCAGGTTTATCAACATGATCTGGGACAATTCTTTGGCTAGAAATAGGATATGGCCGCAGTGGTCTTGCAAAAGCAGAAATTGAAATTTGGTTTCAAAAATATACAATTAGCAATAAACTAAAAGTGTTAATGTAAAGAAGGGGAACATGGAACAAACACAAGGCTTCTGAAATGAAAATATCATTACTAATAATCAACAAATCTTTTGTTACTTAAATTGTGGGATATGAAACCCTTTAAATTTAGAATATGAAGAGATTCAAAGCCCTACCCAGTCCAATCAAAGTGAGGAAATTTTGGAGTTCGACCCTGCCCTCTCTTCAAACAATACAACCAACCTTCACCAAGTGAATCTGAATTTTGTGCACCAGGTGAGGATAGTTTTGCCTTCAGATGCACTGATTTGTGCGAGCTCCATGAAGACTTGAAACATTCCTGAGAGCTGTCAAGAACTATCAAAATTGGCTCCAACATGAGGAGTACAAAGACTGAGAAGTAAATTTCTTGTTTATTCATAAAGTATCTAGTAATTCACTATTCTCTCATTAGCAACCATGGTCAATCTCACCTTCTAAATGGTGCCAATCTGAGCAATGCCATTCCATTCACCAAATTGCTAATCCCTAATAACTAAATTAATCTGCTTTAGATATTAAATTAGATCAATCAGAACTTACTTCTTTTATTTACAATGGTCCTAAAAGTATTACTAGTCAGCACCAAATAAAGCACTATATTGCACTTAGACAATAATAGCATTCAGGATTTTAAGAAGCACACTTTTATTGCCGCTATAGCTGCAGAGGAGGGTGGCCCCTTGCCGCTGTAGTGGGGTGGTTCAGGGTAGCGGCAGTAGGGCTGAACCAAATAGCAGGCAGAATAGCGAACATAGCAGACTATGTTGATTCATAAAAAGCCCTATGAACACAGAGGTTAGGGCTTCTTTATCTTGGTTTGGACCTTGGCGCAAATATAACAATGGTACTATTTAAAACCCGGTGCATGTTTGGTTTAGCATTTCAGAACAATGGATCCTCGTCAAGCCATAAGCTAATATGAGTAGCTCTTGCGCTTTTATCTTGGTTTGGCGCAAATGTAACACAATGGCAAGAAAATATAACAATGCAAACAGTTTTAACATCGGTCCAAACACACCATCAATGACGACAACAGACAAAAAAAAAAAGGATTTCAAGATTCAAAAAAACTAACAAAGTAGAGAATAGTCACAAACCAGAAGGCAGAACCTTCACGGGGAAGCTTCAACTCCATACATTTCGGACACCTGAGGCAAAAAGAGAGTCTTTACACACAAAGAAAAGTAAATAAAAAAATATGAGATGCATAACATACTCTCTCAGGTTCTCCCACAACATTATCACCCCAACCCAACCATAACCACCCCAATTGCAAGACCATCATAAAAAGCTCAAAAATCAATCTTCCACCACCCAATTGACCTAAACCACTAGCATAGCAAAGCAAAAAAATTGGGCACCGCAAAAATGAAAACATCAAAATGTCATGCTGCCAGCTACAGCTACAGCTTTTACTTAAACCATGAAAACCCCATTTGATCAAAGACAAGAACAAAAGTCCCTAGCACATATCAAGGCATGTCAAATGCAATAACAACATCTTGCAACCTAAAACAATTTACAAAGAAAAAATGAGTGGTGGCACAGTTAGAGAGAGAAGAATGAGTACTGAAGATTTGCAGGTTTGCTACAGTTAGCACAAGAGAGGGTGTTCTCGGTTTCCCCAGCCATTGATTGCAAATAACACAGAACTAGGGTTCGTTGCAGAAGTTGCAAAAATGCTCAGAACGACGCGCGTAAGAGAGAGCAGAGATTTTATAACTTAGTGTTGGTCAAGGAAATGCCTGTCTTTGAACTTGGGCCTGGCCCGTTTGTTCGGCCTTCTTGTTTTGTGGGCTCACCAAGTCCATTTCTGTCTTATGGGCTGTAGTGTGAAACATTGTGGCATGAAATTTCAGTGCTAATTGAATAGTATGATCATGTTTGTTCATTTTATCATTGCTCATTTTGTGTCTTCATCTTGGTTGGTTGTAGTATGAAATAAAGAATAAGTTTAAATACCCGTTGATCTTATATTTGTGCAGTTTTTATATTGCTTTAATGTTGCATGCAAAAATAAGGAAAAATTTTATTTAAATATTGAAGGAGGGTTCAAACTAACTCCTTTAATGTACATGATAAATATATGTGTGATTCTGATTTTCTTTCAAAGTTTCATTTATGTATTAGATAAATTCATTAATTTAATGATAAGTGTTATTATTAAAATTTAGAATGGTTAAATTTTATCCTGACACTTTGATAATTTCTATTCCTAATTTTACTGTCACATCACTAACTCATTAATATTGATACATCAACTCCGATTCTACATTAAATAAAAATATCGTCAGTAAAATATATTTATTAAAAAATTAAGAATGTGTATTGGGATGAAATTTTAAAAGATTTTTTTATTATAAAAAGTATATAGTATTTAATCAAGACTTTTTTTAACCTCAAGTGTGTAGTTCAACAGTAGGAGTTGATCCACGTTTAAGCAAAGTCAGGAGTTCGAATCAGCAATCATATCTTTTGAGGTGTCTCCAACGTAGCGAGAAGATTAGTCACTACTATTGGCCGTGGATATTCCAGGGATAAACCAAAATATGTAATATTCAATTAAGATAATTATAATTTTTATAAAAATACATTAAAATCTGATGATATTCAATTAAGACAATTAATTTTTTAAGAGTACATTAAAATAAATAATATTTAATTAAAAAATTACTTAAAAAAAAGTCAATTGATATTAAAAAATATATAAATTTTAATAGATTATTTTGATGAATAAATTTTTTGAGATTTTTTAAAATTTACATATAATTAACTCAGCTAATAATCTCATCAAAATCATCATTGATCTTTTTATTGTTTTTTTTTCTCTTCTACCTTTTTTGCTTTTTCTCTTTTTTACCTCTCTTGCTCTCTCTATCTCTATCTCTCTCATTACTTCTTTTTTCTCTCTTTCTCTTCCTTATTCCTTATTTGATATTTTTTTTGTCTCCCTTTCTCCTCTTTCTCTCTTTTTTCTTTATTTCATATTCTCTTTTTCTTTTTGTTCATTTAACTCATTTATTTCTTCTTCTTCTTCTTCTTCTATCTATCTTTTCTCTTATCTTTTTTTTTTTAATCAATCAATATTTTTTAGTTACATTTTTATCTATCAATATTAATATATAATTTATCAATATTTTTTTTAATTATTAATTTTTTATTAAATATTATACATTGTTTTTTTTTAATTATTAAAATTTTAAAAAAATGTTTATTTCCAATAAAAATTTAATATTAAAATAACAAAATTTTAAACATATATTAAAAATATATTTTAACAATTCTATCGGTTAGTGAATATCTTAAATTTGAATATATTATTCAAATTCAATAATATGAATGATAAAATATAAATATATAGAGAGTTGTATGTAGAAAAATGTTACTTAAGAAAGCATTAAACTATAATCAATTGTTTATTAAAAGATTTAAAAATTTATTAATTTTATTTTCTTTATTCAAATCTTGTCATTTATGTTATTTTTTATGAATTATATTATATTTTAAAAACACATATTGTTGTTTCAAATCTAATAAAATTCTTTCAAATTTTTATAAATTCTTAAGATACAAATCCATTAAAATGCATATTACAAAATCTTGATTATAAAGTCTTTTAACAAAAAATTTAAAAGTCATTATATTCCTACAAAATTTTTTTAAAAAAATTTAAATAGTCATTAAATTCCTATAAAACCTTTTAAAATTAACAAGACTTTTTTGTGTTAAAAAGATTTTTATAAAATCTCAATTTAATACACCCTAAAGCTATTCAAATTGTTAAAATGATTCATGTTATAATCTATACGTGAATATGTTCAATTTGAATTTAATAATATTTATTTAAATATGTCATGTCACAAATAGTTTTAAAGTAGTACTCATCAACATTATATGTTAAATACATATTATGTCCTATAATAGAGATTATTAAAAGAATAATAAATTTATGAAAACTATAATAAATAACAAAATTCAAAGAGATTATAACTAGAATTTATTATATTTATAAAGACTAAAAATATATTTAAATCAATAAAATAAATGTATAAAATTTACATAGTTTTATTTGATATACTTTTCTTTTGTTTCTTTTGATGTATTGTATTGGTTAGTTTTTGAAACATTGCTGGGTTACCACCAAGTTCCTAGATCGATTGGTACAAAGTTATTCTAATTAATTAAATCTTCATTTTGAATCTTGAGTATGCAATTATATTATATATTTGGAGAATGAGTTTTATCGTTTGTAGTATTCAAACTCACCTTAAATAAGATTATCTGTTGTCAATCCTTTAAAAAATAAACTAAAACTAAGAAGAAAAATAGGGTACTAATAGGAGTTAAAAATTAAAATAAACTTCTCTATAAATTAAAATTAACTTATGCATGAAGTAAATTTTTTTAGAAGCTAATAAGAGAGAATTCTTACAAATTAACTTATGCATAAGTTAATTTTAACTTAGTAAAAAATTTATTTTATTTTTTTCATATATTTTTTTTCCTATAAATACTTTTGGAAAAGTTTACCAACGCAAAGTGGGGACTAATGACAACTAATGGTAGGAAAATTATTTTATTAAGCTTTATTTAAGACCATTGTATCCTCACTAGTTTAAAATCATTTTACTAAGTATAGGAAATATTATACCGGTTCTATATAAAACAAACAAATAAATTATTGTTTTGATTCTAATTATAAAAATATGTCTATTTTTGAACATATTAATTGTTAATTTTTATTTTATATACTTAATTTATTAATGAATCATCCATTACTTTCTCATGAAAGTATAGATGTATTTATTTGACCACTAACAACATAAGTCACACTCATTAATTAAAAAAGTACTCATTAATCAGAAAGATTATTAGAAATAAATGAAAGTATTATTTTAATCTTAATTATAAGAACATATATTTATTTTTAAATATATTAATATGTTCTCAACTATAAACGGTAACTTCTTTTTTTTGGTGATAGGTATGTTATTAAACTTCAACATGTGTCCCCATGATTACGAATTTAGCCAAGGGAAAACATTGGGTGATGTCTGCAACCTCCCTGTTAAAACTTCAACACCAGTCTCTGTCACCTAATAATGAAAAACATGAATCATATTAAATAGGTACAAATAAGCTAAAAGTAGTTATGCAACCCTAAATGTATACTTAAGAGCCCAAATATAAGTAACATTCAAATTAATAAATCACTGACCAAAACAATTTAATTATAAAGAAGCCACCATAGCCTTAGAGCACTATGTAATGAAAGCATACGATTATTTGCATACGATTATTTGCATACGATTAGAGCACTATGTAGTGAGGGGCTTGGATAATTTGCATAAGATTATATGTTTAGAAGTTAAAACCTCAACTGTACTATAACAAAATAAACAGTCTACCAACACATTGTGTGCTCTTCAGTATGAACAGTTTGCAAAGGCTTCGTAAACGAAATATTATAGAAGTTACATATGTATCACATTAAAATCAGTACCATTATATAGAGGTGAGGAAGTAAATGACTAAATGTTACCATATCTTTCTTGAAAATTTCATCCAAAATTTAAAATTATGATAATTTTCTCTAATTTATTATCACTTTCAGCATCAAAAGACCGTGTTCTACTTGACAGAATACAGTGCAGAAAATAACCTGATTATAAGACTTCTATATACTGTAATAGCATCCATGAGAAACCAGAAATGGACTTACCAAAAGAGTGTGCTCAAATTGAGCACTTCGTTTACCATCTGCTGTAACATCAGTCCATCCATCAGGCCACATTCGATCACGCCAGACACCTATTAAAAAATTAATATTAGAGCTGCCTCATGAATCCATCCTCAAAGTTATGTTTTTAAGCGATTTTATAAGTATACCTGCATTGATCATTGGTTCAATTGTAAAGGTCTGCCCAGCCTTCATCACACCAACTGCTTTGTTTCCTGCCAGTGGTTAAGGTTTATACATTGCACATATTCCCTTTCTAGCAATCAAAGTTCTTTGCTAACATGAATCAAGGGGGGTGGGGAAAAGAAGCTAGAGAGGTGCACACTAATGTTTCTGAGAAGTAGTAAGTTTAATTTTGGGAGAAAAAGAAAGGTCTAATCTAATTTAACAAAAAATGGCATTAGAATGAGGAATCTGCTTTTTGTTAACAAGTAACGGTATGTATAACTTGATTGTCAATAGAAAATGAATGGCTAACATATTAAATCATTTCTAGTTTTGCAAGTCATTTCTAGTCCAAATATGTTTTCCAAAATATCCTACAGTGCTTTTAAGCCAAGGAAAGGATACTCGCATAATGAGGGATGTTTGGTGCACAATGGAAGAGCTCACCAATTCCATGACCACAATATGATCTTGCCTGAGGACAAGGGAAAAAATGAGTACGGAAGAACAAATGATAACCCATCCACTAGCGTAAACAAATAAGAGTAAATAGCTTAAAAAAGAAAGAGACAAAGCAATTCATTACCACTGAGAAGCCAGACATTGATGCATGGCGACTAATAACTTCACCAATCTCACGGAATCGTACCCCAGGTTTAACTGAATTTGATTGAAAAGAAAGAATCAGGATCCCACAGTTCAATTTCTTATATTGTGTACGTTTTAAATGTAAGTAAAACAAAGCAATCACAATATAATTCAAAAGCCAAACTCATACATTTATGGTAATCTGTAATCATCAGTTATTAATTAATAGTTCAATGCATATTTAGTAGCTAATATAATATGATTCAATATCAGTTATTTAATATGTACTTCTGTCCTTAATTTATATTTTTAGTGGTTAAAAAATTTAAAACCATATAATTTTGGGGTTTACGAGTTAGGACCAAATTAACAATTTTAAGACCAAATTTGTAGTTTGATTTATGAATCGATAACAAACCTTTAAGGTACACATCAAACAAAAGATACATATAAGATCCAAGACTACTATAATGTTTTTAAAATTTAATTATATTTGAAACTTAGACAAGAGACGAAGACTTCAGAATTGAAATCAAATTGAGATATACCAATGGATATTGCCTTCTCCAGGCACTCATATGTGCATTTTACTAGTTTGCCAGACTCTTCATCAACATTTCCCACAAAGTATGTTTCATTGAGATCGGCTGCATGACAACTCGCATAATTAACCAAGGGTTGAACTTTATGAACTTCAAGTGAAACTGTGTAACATATATTATATATATGCACCAACTTACCATGAACACCTTTATAGTACACAGAGATATCAACATTTACAATGTCACCATCCTCAAGCTTCCTTCACAAAGACTATATTATTCAGAGAAGTTCTCAAGTAGATATAATTGTATAATGCCTCGGTGGCACTTGCACTAATAAAGTGTCAAGTAGCAAAGAAGGGTGAGTTGGGAAAGTTAGTTTCCATTAAGGAGGTGTTTGGTAGAAGAAAACTTTTTCCATGCGAAGAAATCATGATTCTTGGAAATCATAAATCCCTAAAAATCATGATTCCTGGAAATGATTAAATTATATTTAGTTTGAAATAAATGTTTTTAGGAATATTTATAATATTACATGGGAATCAAAGATTTTTACTACATTAAATAAGTAAAATAAGGTAATGTGATATTTTTATCACAATAAAACTTTCCTTTTAACTCAAAAATGTTAGATTCCAACCTGTCCCATGGGAACAATTCTGGGAGAAACATGTGTAAAAATCATTCTCATATATGAATGTCATTTTTAAAAAATAAACCTAACATGAAAGCTAACATTCTCAACTTCAAATTCTTAAGTAAATAAAAACTTCCCTTGTACCAAACACTTCCTAATTGCAGCCAGAAGTAAAACTGAGTTCTGGCTACGAAGAAAAACAATAGTAACAATAAATTAGAAAAGGCAGATAACAGTTTACCTTGCATCAGGAATTCCATGGCAGATTATTTCATTAACTGACCTGTTAGAAAGAGCACATTTCATTCTTAACATATACCAAGACAATCTGAGAAAAATGTGACATGTACAGAGGAAAAGTACCTACGTGCAGCAAGATTTAGGGAAGAAATTGTAATTAAGAGGTGATGGATATCCTCCTGCAAAGGTAAAAATTTAGAAAAGATAATATTCATCGCCAATGACTATTTCTAATTGCCAAATGATAATGACATCAAGAAACTCAAGGAACCATTTGAAACGGAATTATATAAAGTTGGGACTAGGGAAGCCTTCTGTTCAGTGTACTGCTCATGGCTTTCTAGAGAGACTTTTCATTTCTAGAATGCAGAGAGATTGAGTAGTCTTGCTTATATCATTAAATAACAGAAGATAAATACTCCACTTAACAACTACTGTAATGCAAAATTTTCTATGAGAAACAAAAAGGCCCAGGATACAACAAGGAGCATGTATACAATCTGACTCAGACATGGAAATGTGACAAATTTTAAAAATTATAAGACCTGATAGCTACAAGATAACATAAAATTAGCAAAAAAAATTAATATAAAACATATTAAAAATCAATGTTTTACAAGTGAACGTAAGTGTAGGATGTAGACATAATTAAATCTTATAACTACTGTGTGATTGGTTTAGCTCATTTTAGACAAATAGTATATTGGTTTTTCAGTTTCTTTAGAGCTTTTGAAAAAGAAAGGAATACGAAGTATCTGAGCTAGGAGGAATATTCAGATTTGTCTGTGAAGTGTTTGAAAATGGATTTTTGTTGAACATGGGTACGCCATGGGGAAGGCAACTAATTTGAAGTATCTGAGCTTCATTAATTGCTAAACACATTAAAACTCAACAAGTAAAGAAGCTAGAAAAGTTGATAAGTGTTGTGAAACAGAAGCTCATTAAAACTGGCACCTGAAGCAATAGTTGCCTCATGAACAACTCTGTCAATCTCATCGGTTGTCACACCAGGCTGAATAATCTGAGCAGCTGCATCCAACACCTCCCTTGCAATCTATAAATCAATACACACATAATGAGTCTAAATAAATCTCACCAGTACCATCAAAACTTTACTCATGTTAAATAATTTTTTCTTTTCTCACCCCCTCCAGCTTATTAGTTATTACATAATAGCAAAGCAGAGATTTATTGAATGTCAAACATTAATCAACAAAGTAAAATGAATTCACATATCACCAAAGCATTCTCATACAAATTAATCAGCATGAAAATAAAGATATGAATGAGTTTCGCACTGAATGATGAATTGAGATAGCAGAGGGGTAAACAAATCTTGCTCCAAGAGAATCTACAGAGGCAAAAAGTGGCAAGGACTTACCCGACAAGTTTCCCTCATTCTCTCTATTTGATCTGGAGTTTTGACCTACAGATTAATATCAGTTAGAAAGTAGAATAAAAACAATGTCCAATTTAATCTTTACATAAATCATCTACTCATGTATTTTAAAATTACCCACCTCAACAGTATACTGCAGACTACTATTGGGCTCAATTTTGGGAATTCCCTAAAAGTTGAACACCAGAAGAGATAAAAACAATTCAGATACCATGAATCTCTCTAAGTTATCAAAAGATTACTTCCTATCATTGTATATAAGCAAATTGGGCTAAATCAGACAAAATACAAAGCATTTAAGTAGGAAGAACTTGGATAACTTACATCATCAGCCCAATCAGGTTTATCAATATGATCTGGGACAATTCGGTTGCTAGAAATGGGATATGGCCGCAGTGGTCTTCCAAGAGCCGAAATTAAATTTTGGTTTAAAAAATAATCAAGTAATTAGCAATAAACTTGAAAGAAAAGTGTTAATGTAAAGAAGGGAAACATGGAACAAGCACAAAAGGCTTCTGAAATAAAGAAAAAAAAAAAAAAAGACATGAAAATATCATTACTAATAATCAACATAATCTTTTATTAATTAAATTGTGGGATATGAAACCCTCGAAATTTAGAATATGAAGAGATTCAAAGCCCTACCCTGTCCAATCAAAGTGAGGACATTTTGGAGTTCGAGCCTGCCCTCCCTTCAAACAATATAACCAACCTTCACCAAGTGAGTCTGAATTTTGTGCTCCAGGTGAGGATAGTTTTGCCTTCAGATGCACTGATTTGTGCGAGCTCCATGAAGACTTGAAACATTCCTGAGAGCTGTCAAGAAATATCAAAATTTGCTCCAGAATGAAGAGTATAAAGACAGTGAGAAGTAAATTTCTTGTTTATTCATTAAGTATCTAGTAATTCACTGTTCTCTCATTAGCAACCATGGTCAACCTCACTTTCTTCAATAGGGTGCCACTCGGAGCAACAATGCCATCCTTTTCACCAAATTGCTAATCCCTAATAACGAAATCAATCATCTATAGATTTTAAATCAGATCAATGTGAATTTACTTATTTTATTTACAATGGCCCAAAAAGTATCACTAGTCAACACCAAATCACACGTTATGTTGCACTTAGATAATGGCGCTATTTAAAACCCTGGTGCATGTTTGGTTTAGCATTTCAGAACAACGGATCCTCGTCAAGCCAGAAGCTACTATAAGTAGCTTTTGCGCTTTTGTCTTGATTTGGCGTGAATGTAACACAATGGCAAGAAAATATAACAATGCAAAAGCTTTTAACATTAATCCAAACACACCATCAATGATGACATCAGAAAAAAAAAATCTCAAAATTCAAATAACTGACAAAGTAGAGAACATTCACAAACCAGAAGGCAGAACCTTCACGAGGAAGCTTCAACTCCATACATTTCGGACACCTGAGGCAAAAGGAGAGAGTCTTTACACACAAAGGAAAGTAAATCAAACATATGATGCATACCATACACGCACACATATGACATAACATTATCCACATAACCACCCAATTGCTAGAACTCAACTAGAGCTGGCAAAATAGGCGTAGCCTAACTTATCATAAATTATAGGACTTGAGCTCTAAATTTCAAGTCCAAATTAAATATGGATCATTTTAGCTTGGCCTGATAAGACTGGTGTCATACACAGGTTTAGGTCAGGTTAGCTTGGTTGGGTCATGAACCGCCTATTTTCTTAATTAATTTTGCTAAGAAACCAAAAAAATAGTTCAATAATTAAGAAATAAAGACTAAATAAAATTATAATTTATACAAAATTTTGCCCAAATAATTAAATATTATATAAAGTGATAGATAAGATTAATATTTTTTTTACATTGATAAGATTAATATATTATATATAAGTATTTTTTTATTAAAAATAATTACAATAATGATCACATTATCAATTATAATCTTTTTTAAAATGTAATAATAGAATAAATTAATTATTTATATTTAATTTATTACATTAAAAAGTATGTCAAGAAAAACAATTATCACAATAATTATCTATAGCTTGAATATTGAGAAATAGGGTCAGACTTTGACCAATTTAAACACTAAATTAAATATGGACGCTTTTGCGCTTTTGCTCAGCCCGTAAGCCGCATCTAACTTGCCATGGGTAACCCATTTTGCCACAGCTCAAAAATCAAATCTTTCACCACCCAATTGACCAAAACCGCTACCATATCAAAGCAAAAACTTGGGCTTCGCAAAAATGGAAACATCAAAATTTGAAGCTGCCAGCAGCAGCTTTTACTTGAACTATGAAAAGTGAAAACCCCATTTGATCAAAGACAAAAACTAAATCCCTAGCACATACCAAGGCATGTCAAATTCAAAGAATAATTCAAAAGAATTTACAAAGAAAAAATGAAGAGAAAGAGGAATGAGTACTGAAGATTTGCAGGTTTGCTACAGTTAGCACAAGAGACGGTGTTTTTGGATTCAGCAGCCATCATCGATTGCAAACAACTCAAAGCTAGGGTTCGTTGCAAATATGTTCGGAACGACGCGCGCAAGAGATACAACTTCGTGTTGATCAAGGAAAAGTCTCTCTTTGAACTTGGACTGGTCAAGGAAAGTATTATTTATTTATTTATTTATTATTATCCATCCCAAATATGCAGTTTATTCGATTTCACCCAAGGAAAACACCTTCTACCTCACTTCATAAAAAGTCCACGATTTCGAACATTTACAATACTGAGATTAAAAGAAAATTAAGAAAACTGATAATATATTGAAAAATGGTTTCTTCATGATTTCCAATATCAATATTATTCAAAATAAAACACCCAATTCATGTTCATTTCATAACAAAATAAGAAAAAGATATATGCAACTTTTGATATCAAATGAAGAATAAAATTCAATAGATCACATATGTACATAAAACAAACTGTATATATAACAAATAAATATACGAGGAGGGTTCAAACGACACCGGTGTAACTTTTACTAAGTGTTACACCGCTTAATAACTTTATATTAAATGTGAATTTTGAAAATCTAACCTTAGATTGAAAGTTCATATCTCTTAGATCATACATGTCAAATTTTATTAAAATTGAACAACAATTTAAAGGTAATCAAAACGTTCATAATTTAGTATATTTTGAAATGTATATATTACGTTAATTTTATTTTATGAGAATGAAGTATCAAATCATCTTAGATTAATATAAAATTTGACATATATGATCTAAGAGATATGAACTTTCAATCTAACGGTTGGATTTTCAAAATTCACATTTAATATAAAGTTATTGAGCGGTGTAATACTTAGTAAAAATTACACCGGTATCGTTTAAACCCTCCTCTAAATATATAGGTCTGGTCATTGCTTTCTCAAAAACAAATTTAGAAATACATAAAATACTTCCGATATCCACATTGATGGATGGATATTTAGTTTTTGGATGTATTTTGGCTCAAGGCTCTATACGATTCATTGAGTTCAATTTTTATCCATCATAAAAAAAATGATTTCCATTTTTAATATATGTAGATAAATCATTTTTATTATCTAGTAGCAACATCTCTTAATGATAAAAGACTAAATGATTAGACTTTGAGATAGTCTAAGAACGTGAGTGAGAAAAAAAATGGGTAAGAAAAATTAGGGTCACTAATTAACTTAAATTTAAAATTTAAAAATAAGTCTAATATTAACATTTACGAGTGGTAAGCTTGATAATAATCAATAATTGTTAGAAAACATCCTTACACAATCTTAAAAAAATTAATTATAAACTTTACTCAACCTTATAAAATTAACTTGTAAGTTAAAAATTATTTCTTACTTATATATATTATTATGGTATTAAAAAATTGGATTGTGAGCATATACATATCTACATATGATAATTAAAATTATTTTCATAATTAAAATATTTTTTATCATAATTAAAATTATTTTCATAATTATTATAAAAAAATTATTTTCATAATTTAAAATGCATTATAAGAAAAACTTGCAATGAATGTTGTGCAACAAGTTTATATAGTTCAGTTCCAAATCACATTATTGTAACTTGCCAATTAGATGTATTCAATATTCCGTTTCGTTCTTATTGGATGTGCATTTCATACACTATTCTTAAATTTAACTAAAATAATTATCTCAAAACCATTTCAAACTATCTTTATTTTATGTTTACATGAGTACTAGAGTTTTTTTTTTTTTTTTTTAACGTATAACTATAATCTTTCAATCTATTCTCTTTTATCTTTATTTTTAAATTGATTTTCAATAATTTTAAAAAATTATTAATAATTAAAGATAATTTTTAATATCATTTTTTTATTATAAATCTTAAATATAATTTATATTTAAATTTATTTATTTATTTAATTATAATAAATTATTATATAAAAGTAAAAATTCGTCATCTTTAACATATAAACTCAAATACTAAAATATATGAGTACTATTCCTATATAATAAAACTTCTAGATTTATTATTGAGATTGTGAGTCTAATTCAATTTTACAAAATTTATTTGTATGATGAGAACTACTCCCCACTATATATATTATTATGGATTTATTTATAGACAATATGAGATCTTTAACACATACTCTTCACACCAATGAAAAGACATCTCAATCATAAATTTATTAAATTGAATATTTATTGAGTGGTTTGATAATGACCTAATAGCAAGTGGTTTAGTATGCCCAACTACAATCACCATAATATAAACTTTGATATGTTATATAATATTATGTTAAAAAGTAAGTTACGAATCTAACTCAACTTTATAAAACTAACTTGTTAGATAAGGATTATACCTCATTTATATAACCTTATCACTAGTTGGTGTAAGATCTCCACACACCTGTCTCACATCAAAAACCTAACATAGGATAAAATTTGCAAGACTAATCATCTGCAAATAATTTTATAATAACCCAATAATAAATGATAGAATAAGCCCAACAATAATCAATACTTATTAAAATAAATTTTGATATTATCTAATAGAAAGTGATTTGAAATCTAATTCAATATTGTAAAATCAACTTATAGTTGTTAATTGCATATCATCCGAGTATAATACAATAAAACTAATAACAATCAATAATTATTAACATTATATTAAAAAATAATTTAAAATTTAATATTATTTTACAAAATTAACTTATATAATAAGAATTACTGGGTTATATCATCTGGTAATCGGTTATCACATCAGAGGTTGGCATGAGATATCCAACGCAATAATTCTCCTTTATTTGTTTTTGTTACGATAGTCCAATCACGGAACAACGGGACACTTTTTCTTGGTTGGTGATTGCAAAGGGATAAGAGAATGCAAAATGATGGCAATTTGACATGTTTGATTAAGGGAACATTTGGTGGATGGGATATCAATTGCATGTGAACTTTTGGTTAAACAACGTGTAGGAAAACTGAGTGAGGGAAAGGGTGACTTGGCAACTGATAAGGTTGGTAGCTATTACTCTCAAACTCAACTAAAATATTTGTTTTCATTGTTTTGGATTTGATTGGCTTCACGAATCACCAACCAAATGGAGCAACAATTAATGGAAGCTTTTGTATATTTTCATGTGCATCTTTTACAGCTAATATCCATGAGATAAGTGGTAAATTAAGTTCGCGGAATTTGGAGAAAGAGACTTCCAAAATGCAACCATTAAGTGATATTCTTCACTTCATCTGTCAACTGACAATTCACCAACTTGTTTATATTAATTGTTGGAAGATGTAATATTTTTATTTCACGAGAAACCACATGAATTGGACAGAGATTTAAGTACACTTTTAAGATTAATTTTGTACCATACATTTATTTATTACCCATATCTTTTTTATTCATAGAAATCAAACTAATAATTTTTAATTAATAGAAATTATTGCTGTAAATTTTTTTAATAGAAATTATAATGAGAACAAAAACATTTAAACCTAACATCTTGGTGCATTTTGCCCACTACTAGGCTTGATCCACTGAATTAATCATTCATATACACTACTCATTTACTCCTTAGTTAATATTCCTTAATTATTGCTTCGAATATCATCATCATTTTGGTCCAAAATGAATAAGATTTAAACCATGAATTTCCGAGATCCTGTTGTAATCGTATCCTTTCAGAGATATGTTCAGAAATTTTAATTAAGAAATATGAGGATGGCATATACAGACAAAAATAATAACAATAAAGCAATATGATGTTATATAAGAATTTTATTTTGTCGAATTATAATGATGATAACCAGCTCCACCGATAGGCCTAGTAGTTTATTATATAAGAATTTAATTAATATATATTATTAGAGAATTTTGTAATAATATCACTCAAAATTATTAAATCTATTTTGTACATGAAAATTGAGATTGTATGTAAATAATTATAAATTCCAACCCTATTATCTTCATTCTAATTTCTATTAATATAAATAAATAAGGTTTAAATTAAGGATAAGAAAAGCATATAAATTCTCACAGGTAACTTTTTTCTTTAAATATTATGGTTAAATTGTATATTTAATCTTCCTATTTTTATTTTTTCTTTAAATATTATGGTTAAATTGTATATTTAATCTTCCTATTTTTATCAATTTAAAATATTGGTCATTCTATTTTAAAATAAATATATTTATTTTTTATTTTAAAAATACGGAAATTTTATTTTATTATTAATTTAATATTTAGTAATTATTAATTTTTTTATATTATTCAATGATATATTATCATTTAAATGATGAGACATATAGATATTAACATTAAAAAATAACATATAATTTTTTATTTGTATGTATTTTAACATATAATTAATATTTATTTTATTAATAAATATTATTTATATATATTTTAATTTTTTTTATCATTAAATGTTATATTACTAAATATATACTATCTTACTTAAGTATGAATAAATATTAAAATTTAATAATTAATAAATGTTAATTTAATGATTAAAATTTTATATTTTTAAAATTAGAAAGACTAAATATCTTATCAAAAATAAAAAAATTAAAATTATGAATTGATAAAAATAGAGAAACTAAAAGTACAATTTAACCAAATATTATTGTGTATGTTTTGTACTAAATTATGAATTAATTATCAGAAAAAGATAAAATTATTATTAATTTTTATAGTACGAATTTGAAAAGTTATGTATTAAAAATTTATATTAATTGAGAATAAATACATGTATATAAAAATGTCATCTTATAGTTTCCTAATCATTTGTAGTTTTGATTATTTATAGAAATTCCTGGACTGATTGTTTATAGTTCACCACTTCATCATATTTGACATGTGTAGTATTGAGAAAGCATGGACAATATGTTGTAATCTAAATACGTAGAAATCTACATAGATATGGAAAGTTCATTGAACTTGGCAGATACCTCCAAAATTAACCGCTAAAATGATTCTTCACTTTGTCTGCATGCATGTCTCTATAATGTTATCATGGTATGTGCTTTTAATTAGTTCATTTACTAAGGTATACATAGTTATGTAGTTTTCATTTATTGAATGAAAAACAAACTTTGCAATTGCGCGCTTTGGATAGATTTCACCGCTAAATCATTGCGGTGCAAACATTATCATCAAAGACAAAGTCCTAAACTGGATGGGACAATTTTCAGTGTATTTCAGCATAAGAGAGTGCAGAATTATCTCAGCCTTTATTGAAAATGAGATTAAGTCTCTTGTGTGGGAATGTGGGGGGTTCAAAGAGTCCTAGCCTGACGGTTACGATTTCAAAATTTTAAAGTAGTTTTAGTCCTCCTTAAAGGGTGATATTGTTCGGTTTTTGGTGGAGTTTAAAGAAGATGGCAAGCTTCCAAAAGGAATCAATTCATCATTTATTACTCTTATCCCGGTCCAAAAGATTGATGACCCACAGTTTCTAGGAGATTTTAGACCCATTTTTCTGGTTAGCTGTATGTATAAGATTTTTGTTAAAGTTTTAGCAAACAATAATAGATAAAAAGGATAATGTTTTTCTAAAAGGCAGAAACCTCTTGCACTTTGTTGTAGTTACTAATGAGGTACTTGAAGAGGAAAAAAACAGATAAAAAAGTTGCTTGTTCTTTAAAGCAGACTAAAAAAAAAAAGCTTATGACTTTGTTAATTAGAATTTTTTAAAATATATGCTTCGTAGGCTAGGGTTTTGTGACAAGTGGATTGCATTAATATCAATGTGTTTGCAATCAAGCTCCATTTTCATTTTAGTCAATGGTAATCTTACACAAAGAATTTAAACCACAAAAAAATTTAAGGCAAGATGATCCATTTGTCCCTTTCCTTTTTATTATTGTAGTTAAAGAATTATTCGAACTGATGAAATCAGCAGCTTATAAGAAAATATATGAAGGTTATTTGGTAGAAAAGAAAAAATAGGAAGTTAACATGCTTTAATATGCGTGATGATACTATTTTTGTGGGTGCAACTAATCTTAGAAATGTTATTGTTATTAGAGTATATTACGATGCTTTGAGTTAGCATCGGGTCTAAAGGTGAACATTTTAAAGAGCAAGTTCGATGCACTAGGTGTGGAGCCTACTACCTTCGAGAATTATGCAATGTTATTGAACTGTAGACTACTCAAAACTCCATTTGTGTACCTAGGAATTCCAATTGGAGCCCATCCTAGAAGGGCAAAGACTTAGGAGCCGATAATAAGAAAATTTAGAAATAAATTATTAGTATGGAAGCATAACATTTTATTTATGGCCGGTAGGATCTGCCTCATCAATTCAGTTTTAACCTCCTTACCTTGTTCTTTCTATCATTTTTTAAGATGCCCAGTCTAATGGTAAAGAAAATTGTGGCTCTACAAAAAAGGTTCTTGTGAGGATGCGAAGAAAGGCAACAAAAGATTTCATGGGTGAGTTGGGAGAAGATACGTAGGCCTAGGAAATGTGGTGGGTTGGGGATCAAAGATATCCCTACTTTTAATGAGGCTCTACTATCTAAATGGAGGTGGACTTTGTCTCAACAAAAGAAAGATCTATGGTGGAGTGTATTAGACTCTAAGTATGAGGGGCAACATAATCTCAATAGTCAAGACAATTGTAGATCATCTTCCATCAAGTGGAGAGATCTTAAAAAGGTCTATGGGGTGATAATCAATTGCAGTGGTTTGATAAAGCAACCATCTAGAAAGTAGGACAAGGAGACCAAATCAGATTTTGGTTAGATAGGTGGTTGGGGGATGATTGTCTTACAAAACGTCTACCTAGAACATTCTTAAACTCTGAATAACAAAATGATACAATTGATAAAATACGCAGTTGGGTTGGCTTAAGGTGGGAATGAGACCTCAAGTGGTGTAGAATTTGGTTTGAATGGGAACTGGCCCAGTTCACAACCTTTGAACATCTCCTCTCAATAGTTAATTTGCAACAAGGACAACAAGATAGTTGGTATTGGCACCTAGGTTCGTCAGGGACCTTATCAGTCAGCTCTACTTACAAATACTTACAAACATTGAAGGTTGGTTGTTCACATATTGAAAAGTTCAATCAGATTTGGGATATTTCTATCCCTCCTAAGGTTGCTATTTTTTTTGTGGAGAGTTCTCCATAATGCCTTACCTACTACTAATAACCTTTTGAGAAGGAATATAGCACTAAAAGACAACTCTTGTCCTTTTTGTCACGCTCAACTTGAGACAATCTCCCATATCCTTATCACTTGCAAGGTAGTATGCATGTTGTGTGGAATAAGTGTTTTGGTTGGGTTAATACAACAATAGTTCTCCTAGAAGATCCATTAATGCACCTCAACTTTATCCCATTTGTTCTTAATTCAAAAGAAAAAACACAAAGATGGAGGGTGGTATGATGTGCCATTGCTTGAAATATTTGGAACCATAAAAATGCATGTGTTCAAACAAAATCAGTTTGTTCAACAAAAAATGATGAAGGATATTACCCTCACAGCTTGAAGATGACTGAGTGTAAAACAGAACAACTTCAAATCCTTTTTTACTTATGGTCAATTAATCTTGACCTTTGCATTTAATGTTGGGTGAAAATGCTATAATGAATTTAAATAGTGGGGTATTTCTAATGCAACAATTCTGATTGGGTGTGTAATGGGTTAAATAAATACACAACAAGATGAATCTTTGGTGTTTTTTCTTTTGGGTCAATTAATATTACCGTTACTTGTGCTGGTACGAGTACTCACTCTAATATTGCTGGTTGTATACAACATAAAGGAAGATAGGAGTAATGGAAATAACTTGTTACATCAACAAGCTGGGAAAATGTTGCAGATTCTATACAGGATGAAGGCTAGGAGATGCAAAACTTTTTTTTTTTTAATTTTTTTATTTTATGTTATAAAATGTGATATCTTATTCTGCCTTTGGATGCTGGCTAATCAGATAGGACTGAGTTTTTGTGGTAGATTTTTAGTGAGGAGGGATGAACGCATCCTACAATGATATATGTTAGGAAGTGGGGGTTGATCATGTATCTCATTGTGTTTGTTGTACTACAACTAATGGACTATTTGATGGAACATAATTGTTACGTTGTTTGTTCCTAAAGTGTTATCCTTTGTTTTAGAGTTCCTAATTATAACATAATTTGACTCTATACATATTCAAATTAGTTTTAACCAGAGAAGATACAATCTTCTAATTATTTTATATATGTATATATGAGTTTATGGTACCTCTTATACTTATATATATATATATATATATATATATATATATAAATACTTGTTGGCTGATAAAAAAATAGCAATAATTCATTTATTTGTTCTTTAAATTTTTTAACAAGAACTTTTAAACTTTTTTCTCATCCTATTGACCAATCATTAATTATTTTAAACCCTACTTACATATATTACATGTTTATTAATTATTAAAAGCAAAATGAATTTAGATGCTTTACATTTATTTCCTTTTATTATGATTTTGGTGTATAAAGAATATTAAAAAAAAAATTTATAATAGATATATTTCTGATTTTTTTTTGTAAGAAAAAAAATCACACATCTTACACTTTTAAATAAAAGTAAATTTTAATTATTTTTACTCATTTAATAATATTCTTTTAAAATATATTTTTTAATACATAAATATTTTATTACATAATTTTTTTAACATTTATAATAAAGACATTATGAGATCAGTAAATTAGTAAAAGTTAATATATTTAACAGATTTTTTAATGTGTAAAGTTAATTATTACTTTTTTGCTTATAATGGAAAATAGAAAAAATATTTATTAATATTATTTATACAATCAAAATTATATATATATATATATAAATTGTTAGTTAAATTAAAAATAAAAAATATATGTTAATTGATTTGATTGAAATTAATTTAAAATTTAAATATATAAATCTAATATCCAAATTAATCAACATCAAGTTTAATTAACTTAATTTGGATTGAGCCTAAATAAATAAAATAATATGAACCAATTTAATTAATTAAATTCATATATATATATATATTATTCTAGAGCACATGTATTCTCCACCAATGAATAAGAGAAATGAAGAAATTTTTAATTAAATTCTTGCACTATAAATATTGATAATTCTGCTTGCTCTTATTAATATTGTATTTATCTAATAAAAATTAAACTATTAACATGTTATTATTAATATATACATGTCAATATACAACTTTATTTACACATCATTGTTATATGATTGGAAAGAGTTATACTCTTGATTATAATAAAAAAAATCTAATTAATTATATAATGTAAAATCATGATATACAAGTAATTAACTTAATATTTTGGTGATGATCAGTTAAGGAGAATATATATAGTGTTTATATATTCCTCACTAACAAGATGTAACCTTACATTGACAAAAATTATCCTTTTAAAATATCCTTTTAGTTCTCTATCAAGAACATTAATCTTTATTAATTGGTTTGTAAAATGAATTATATCTTTACATGTTGTTTACTCTTTGTTAGTTATAACAAATTAATTAATTATATATATATAATATTATCTTTATTCCATAAATTAATAATATGTCCTTACTTTTTACGTATTAGTTTCATGGATTTAGCTATTAGAATCTAAAGAGCTTAATTATATTTATAAATAGTTATAATTAATCACAATTACAATATATACCATTATATAGATAATTTTATTCCATAAAATAATAATGTATACATATATTAGTTTCGTGGAAGGAGAGCTTTATATTTATAAAAGCTAGCATAGATACATCGATAATAAAATATAATAACATATAGTTACAGGCTTACAGCCATTAATGATAAACATGATCACACTACTACTTCAAATTCCAGACCAGAAAGGCACCCCTGTAGCTGGAATCCACCTTTCACCTTGCAGAAACTGAGTCACTGTGAAGGGTGATGCCTCACTAGCACTCCTCAGCACATGAAAACCAGGCCAATTAACCCTATTCTGTGTAGATGCACCACTTCCTGTGTTCATATACTCACCATAGTACAAAGTTGACAGTGCAAAGTTTCCACTCCACTCACCCCACCCTCTAGGGTGCACCATTCCATCCAAATCAGTCTTGAGAAACACAGTCCTAGAATACTTCTTCCAAGGCCTCCCCAGGAAGGTGCTATGAGAGTCCTTGAGTGTGGCAAACTCAGATGCAGGCCTAACCCTACAACTCTGGATTGAGATGCCAGTGTTTTTGTGAGGGTCATCTCTCCCTTGTGCTGTGATGAAGTTGGTTTGGTGGCTCATTGGCTTCCTCACAAAGATGTCACAGTTTTGTAGCACCACTGTGGCATCACCAAAGATGAAGTCTATGGTACCATATATGTGACAGTCTCGGTAGAATTGGCGGTTTGAATGCACATAGAGAGTGTCTTGGTAGGATTTGAAACTGCACCTGTAGAAGACTGATAAGTCTGAACTTACTTTGAGTGCCACTGCTTGGTGCTTTTCTGGGCCTGCTGTGTTCTCAAAAGTCATGTCTCTCGCCCAAAATCCATCCCCTGATACATCTGTTTCATATACAGAATCTTGTTACCAAACACCTTTGAATAACACTTGATACTCATTTCAAGTGAGTTTAACATAATTCCATGTACTTATGTTCTAAAGATCAATCATTAAACAATAGTCTAAAATATTATATATTGGTTATAGTTCTCTGGTAATTTATATGGTACTCTATAATTATGATGACTGTATAAAAACACAACATACCTTAATATACCTGATGCTTTATGATTAGATAACACTAAAAACATCAATGATATTTTACTGATATTTTATGATTAGCTGATAGCAATTATATTTTTAAATTATATTATGATTATATTAGAGTATAAAAACACTTTAATGTAAGTACATTTTTAGATCCAGTTGAATATGAAGACAATACTTATAAGTACAACTAATTAAAAGATTAAGATATACTAAATAATAATGAAATATTCCAGAATTGTAGTGCATTTAGACAAAGTTTTCATGGTGTTATTACCAAATGTGGCTGAACCCATAGTGGAAGAACCTTGAGCAACATTTCTGTTGCCAGTGACAATTGTTTTGTCTATGCCATCTCCTACAAACATAACATTGCGCAGTTTCTCTCCAATTTCCACTTTCTCATTATAGATCCCTGATTTTACATGTATGACTGCTCTCGCAGGACGGTTGTGGCCCATTGAAGCTAGTGCACTCACTGCTGCTTGGATTGTTCTGTGGGTCCCTGAACCATCCTGTGCCACTGTGAAGTCTGGATTATAGTTTGTTGGACTCCATGATTCTAAATCACCAACATCTGATTTGGATATTGTTCCCTCAGGTGGTCCTGAAATTAAAAACAAATCAATGTAACAAAAAAGAAGTCAAATTATGTTGTGAATTGTAGACTATTGTGTGATCAGTTGCACTTAGTCATGACAAATGATTTAATCTTGAAAACTATATAGATATTCATGGATAACTAAGATTAGATGATCATTCTGAAATTTTTGAAAATTATTTTGAAAGAATCCGAGATTTTAATACACCTAACTACACGTTGGTAAGGTCCTCTTGGGAATTAAGTGTAACATATATAAGTGTATGATCAGATTTGGTAGTTGGTATATCAAATGGCAGAGAATATTACCTTTTCATCTTAAATGGAGAAGAAACCAAATAGTTGGTAACAAAACCACTTAAATAATTGCAGGACTTTGTTTTCATTTTTGTTTATTCATCTACTAAGGTAGACCGACAATATTGAGTTTATTGCATATCCCTGTCAGTGTTCTTTGATTTCTTTTGTTTGTTTCATACACTAAAGGACAATATTCTGACCTTCCATAACAAAGACATACTTCTAATTAACTTCTTTTTCCGAAAAGAGTAACATCTATTTTCCTTTAAGAAATATAGGTGGAGATAAGCTCAAACGAGCCGTTTCTATATAAAAGTACAAAACCTGATCAAAAGCCTAAAAATACCCGAAATTAAGGAGAAGAACAATACAATTTAATAAAACCATTTTACATATTCTTTCATACAATTATACTCCTGTCACATAAAAAAATATTGTATATTGAGAGCTGTGAAAGAGAAAAATTATAAACAAATTAATAATATTGCTCTATTTTATGGTTATATATGTTTGATCGATGAAATAAACCATATATAGAAAGAAAAACACACGCACGTGGAGGATATATATCCTTGTTCAGAGGCAGTGTCAACTCTCGAGTTGTCTAAATGCTGTCTTATTTTAAAATATGTTTAATGTGAACTGCATGGATAACAACAACCTTTTCATTTATGAAACATTTAGTGCAATATCAGAATATAGATGATGCTTAGTTAATGACAAAGACTCAAAGTTGATATATATACACTGTTCCATATGAAAATTCCCTTTATATGAGGATTCCCTACTGATATATATATCAATCAAAAGTTGAGAGACTCAAGAATGCAAAGAAAAACAAGGCCATTTGATAGTAACATACCTTTGCCAACTTTGCCTTTAGTCTTTGAATACAAAACAAGAGCTTGCTTAAGCAACATGGTCAGGTTTCTGTCCAAAACCTGAGCTTCAACATATCCTTTTTCCTGCAATCCATCCAAACAAGTCCTATGATTTGTCATGACAGCACTTACCCATGTGAGTGCATCTTCTTTAGAGTAACTGCTCTCTTCAGACATCATGTGAGAGAGCCTAGACTCACTTTCTTCATAGAGTTTCTCACAATCTCTAAGGGCTATAGCCCTTGTTTGATCAGAAGTAAGAGTTTGGCTTTCCAAGTCATACAGTCTCAAAGAGTTGCCAACCCAGTTTTTGGCCTTAGAAACATGGTTTTGGGCCATTTGGAGCACCTCCACTTCTTGGAGGCAAAGGGTGGTTGTGGCCACGGCAAGGAGGAGGAACAAGGTGGTGGTGGTGGCATAATATGTGGCCATCTTTTATTAGAGAGAATGAATTTGATGACTTGCATGGCTTGGTGTGCTGGGTTGATGATTTATAGCCACCTTATGGAATCACACACATGACACATGGATAATAGCCAGGTGGCACTAGGATTGTGTGGCCTAACCTATATATAAGATCTATGTTTTTATCTTGGTGGATGGAAATTACTTCAAATAAATAGTTGTAATAAATTTTTTTGGAAAGTGTAATGTTTTCCATGTGGGTGGGATGACATTCAATGCTAACCAACTATATATATACATATATGCACATATTGTTTTTCTACAGGTATTTTTTTTTTTTACTCGACAGAAAATTATTCTATTTCTTTGGTTTGAAAATATATATCCTTCAATTAATAATGGAATTATTTTATGATACAATTAGATATGATCAAGAATAATCAATTTTTTTCATAAATAATTAATTATTTAAATAGTATGATTTTAAGTTACGGATAAGTAACAAATTAAGTGGAGAGTATTTTTACGATACAATTATTTATTTAAATAATATATATATATA